CAAATTTCTGCAAACTAACATTTGAAAATGACTCATTTGAATTCAATAACCAATAGTTGAACAGAATCTTGATTGTTACAAGACAAAAGCAAAACATCGTTCATTCAATAAACGTAAAAATAATACACAAGATAAGCTGCAAAGTGTCATTGTTTTAAATTTGTTTACAGATTAAGTTAACAGTTTAAAAATGAGGTTGAAAACGATCAATATCTACTAGTTTAAAGAAGATCAGTTGTAGGTCGATCAAAAAAAAAAAATGAAACATCACAAGTAATTAAGCGCAATCAGAGCAATTAGCATTATCAAACAGCTCACACTATTATGACAAGATGATAGAGATAAATGTTATTTATAGGTACACACGTGAGTAAAGGCAATGGTAAATAAAAAATCATTAGTTAGATAAAATTGTGCTTATCTTTATTCTAAGATAAAATCAAAGAAAATGTATAAAGAAGGTTTAATCATTAGCTGAACATATTAATTAACGTCATTTCTTTAAAGCATCTGCATATTATTCAAGGTTACATAGTCATTCAAAATCTTTACAGTACGTATTGGTTGTAAACAATAGTTGTAAGTCTTTGATTACACAAATACAATATACAAATTAGTAAACTTATATCAGTAATTTCGATTCTCTATTAACCTACAGTTTATTAGCTACATTAGATCTCAGTAAAAATGTTCTTCATTTAAGATTTGGTGATAATGGAATCAGAAATTAAACTTGAAGCTCATTTCTGATTAAAAATCGATTACTCTGAGGTGTTGTCACTCTATTTGATGATTACGTCAAAGATAAATTATAAAAGAATAACAATTTAGTGTCGGAAGAAATACCATGTGATATGTGTAATTCAATTTTAATTTTAAATATTAAGTTTTGTAAACTTAAATATGTACTAATAATAGCCCCTTGTCAAAAATTGTCAAATTGAAGGCTGATTTTTAGAATGCGACAAAGTGGTGCAGTTTTCAACTCACATAAGATGTGTAGTTCCATGATTGCCTTATAAATTATTATTATTGTTTCCTTTAATTCCTAGAGGAACATAGGGCTTCAGCCGTGCGTCTCCATTGTGTTCGGTTCTCTGCTAGAGTCTTCACCTGGCTCCATGTCTGCCCACACATTTTCATCTCCTCTTCACATGACCTCCTCCAAGTCACCCTTGCACTGACGACCAACTCGCCGCTTCCCTTTCGGGTTCCACTTGAGCAATGGCTTGTCTAGTGATGTCACTTGATGGTTTCCTCAGAGTATGGCCGCCAATCCATCTCCATTTCTTCCTGCCTATTTGTTTCGCAATCGGTTCCTGCTGAGTTGGTTCGCTCATTGCCAGAGATCTCTGTTGCTGATCTTTTCTGGCCGTCCATCTGATCTTGAGTATTGAGCGAAGACAACTGTTAATGAAGGTCTGTAGTTTGTTTGAGATGCTCTTTATGACGCGCGCAAGTCTCTGATCCGTATAGTAGCACTGACTGACTTCACATTGGAGTTGAAAATCCGGATCTTATTTTTGATGCTGAGTGCTGTTGACCTCCACACAGACTTGAGAGTAGTGAAAGCTTGTCTTGCTTTCCCGATTCTTGCTTTGATATCCTCGTCAGTTCCGCCTGTAGTTGAAATGATGCTTCCCAGGTAGGTAAAAGAGGTTGTTTCTTTCAGGTTCCTTCCATTTATGCTGATCGTTGTCTGTTGTTGTTGCTGTTGGTGGTGTTGGCCAGGAATCTTCATCACCTCCGTTTTCTCTATGTTCACCTGAACCCCTTCCTATCTTTGATGCTTCTTCTGCCAACTTGTTGCTTTTCGCTTGCATATCTTCCAGTTTGTGGGAAATCAGACATATATCATCGGCGAAGTCCAGATCCTCCAAGTTTTTTGTGTGAGTCCATTTTATGTCTGTTTCCTCATTGCCCGCTGTTTGTCGCACTATCCAATCTACTGCAATCAGGAAAATCATTGGCGATAGTAGGCAGCCTTGTCTTACTCCTATCCTCACTTCGAAGGATTCCGTAGGTTTCCCGTTGTGGATTACTTGGCCTTATAAATATTTGTTATTTAATTATTCCTTTAGGTTTCGAGTGGAACATAGGATTCTCAGCAGTACGCTTCCATTTCATCCTGTTTTCTGAAGTTATCTTTAGCTGGACGTACGACTGCTCATAGGCTGTCATCTACAAACATGATTTGCTTTCCCTAAATCCAGACTGCTCTAGGCAGAGTTTTGCATCTAAAGCATCTACCAGTCTCTCCAAGATGACGCAACTGTCTAATATTTTTGGTGTTTCCATCAGGTGAAGTCCATGTTGCCTTGTGTATATCCTTGTGCTTTTATACACTGCATCCAATAACCAAATTATTGAAGGCACAGTAGTCTGTAAAGAGCTTTCCATTGTCATTCATCTTGACCTATGATGAATTCTGTTTCTTTATTGTCCGTTCCAAGTTTAGCATTCATATCACCCATTAGGATTCTGATGTCTCTATTTGGAGTCTAATCCATTACTGTTTGCAGTTGTCTATAGAAATCTTCCATCTTCCCTTCTTCTGAGTTGTTTGTAGGTGAGTAGCATTGGATGATTGTAACTTTCCTTCTTTTTGAGTTGAGTCTTACTGTCATAATCCTGGAGAAGATTGATTCCCACTGCATAACAGCTTTGGATGATATTGGTGACACCGTGATAGCCACTCTCTCACAATGTGGCCGTCCTTACGTCTGCGTGAAAACAGTGGATTATTGACTCTCCAGTTAACAATTCGGTGAGTTCACTTCGACTCCATCTGCTTTCACAGATTCCAAGCACTTCTATACCGTAACCTCTTATCTCTTTGACAGTGTGAACAGCCTTTCCAGCCGCCTTCGAATATTGGGCAGACATTTCATTTCTCCATGTTTATTTTTGCTTTCATAGAGAGAAGACACAGAGTTTGACTGACTTCCCGAAGGCTTTTTTTCAATTTACATCATTCCATATGTCTGATTCCAGCGAATAACAGGTACATTTTTTATTATTTTCTTTTCTAGTTTACTAGCGGATTCTAAGCCCGAAAAAAGACAGAAGGTTGGGTGTGGGACTGGAGACTCTTCCCCAGGAAATCCACCCAGTCGCTACAGGAGCTTCAACGCATAGATTGACTTACTAGACGGCACTTATGTGATTATCTAAAATATTGAATAGAACAAAAGTAATGTATTCTTGTAGTAGTATTACTATTGGTTGTAGTCAAGCTGTCTAAGTTACTTGAATCAACTCTACGAAAAATGACAGTAGCTAGTGAAATGATATAACTACAGATTCGAAAAATCTAGTGGCAGTAAGGTGCTTCTTATCTTAACACCATTTGTAATGATAGGCAGGTCATATATTGTGATCTGATTATTCTGGACTACCAAACAAACACTAGTGAAGTTTTACATTGACATTGTGTAATTTTAAAATGATGCGGATTCTTCTATGGTCGGTAAGCATGTAATACGATTATTACAGAAGGGGAAATCAATGGCTGTGACATCAAGTGTTTCCTTGCCCAGCTGATTGGTCACCTTGTAACCAGAAAGTCCTGAATCCGAACCCCAGTGGATGCGTAATACTGTACAGTCTCAAACAAGGTTGAAACAGCTTTCTAGTGCTCCCATGTTCTTTTCAGTGGTTCTCTAACTGATGCCAGCTCGTGATCACACCTGTAAATGAGAGGAAGTTTCAATCTGCATTAGCTCTTCGCCTTACTGAATTACAGTTTCTCCGATCAAATTCTTCTAGTTTGAATGCTTCTTTCACCTGTGTTATAATCATATTACACTCAAAAAACTAAACAGCAGAAATCCGATAAGCAGGGGGTAAATTATCATGTTTATCACTATTAGATAGTCGGAGGCAAACAACATAAAAGCCCTGAATCTACCTTTAAGTGATTATTAGCACTCATCAGCATGATGTTTCCGCAACTCCAGAAGAACTGATATGCTGTTGAAGATTCAAACAACCAGTCAGACACGTTAACATGAAGCTATTAAATGAAATCTACACCTCTGACTGCGACATCGGGTGACCCAGGTTCGAGTCTCAGAAGGGATATGTGTTCCTTCAAGACTGAAGATGCGCCTTACTGACGAGTGCTAATAAACATGAAACCTAGGTCAAAGACTTCCTGCTTTCAGTTGCTTCCAACCATTAACAAAAATCCGAACTGTACTGTTATGACGAGTCACGCAACCAACATTGATGGAATGCAGTCTGTACTAAACGAAAGAATAGACGCATGACATTAGTAACTGTGGTGAGAGCTGTCTGCAAGCCAAAATTGTAGACAACAATTGACGTCAACGTTTACGTCCCAAATCTTGGTCATGAGAAAAAACAAGAAGAAAGCCTAACTTTGAGGATCTCAACAACCAATCACAGCAGACTTAGCGTGTGCAATTACGATTCACAGATATATCACCGGACTGTCTAAGAAACGGCAACAAAGAGATAACAGAATAACCTTCAGCAGGTAAACAACCAATCAGAAGACGTTGCTTCTCTGCTAACAATAATGAATAATAATATACATAAAAATCTATAAATACCTGTTGATTTTCTCGATAAACGATCTGTTGCCTGGCCCTCGTCTTCCGTCGTTACATAACTACCTAGTATCCAACCAAATAATTAGACTTCATAAAGAGAAGAGATAATCTTTTAAGCTTTCAGTATCTTTTTATTAAATTTCATAAATATCTTGCAAACTGATTCGTTTCAAAGATTATTATGAATATCATTAGTGTTAAATGTGACAAACACCGCCCTCACCTAGGATGAAGTCTTATCGCATAATCATTTAACCAACTGATTACAATCCACTGTATTCATTATGTGCTGAAGTCAAGTTTACACGCTTCATCGTCTGAAAAACTTCACAGCACATCATTAGCCTCCATACACTCAGTATTAAATTCTCTGACTGCATAAAGTATTCAATGAGAAAGAAAGTCATACACAATAATTATAATCAATATATTTTATCAATATTATATATATTATTTGTGTACAGCGAGCTATTTCAGCTCATGTGCAACAAGATGTGAAGCGAAAAAATAATAAAATAAAGACGAAAAACCAACAACAACAACAAAAAATAGTTGAACTTGCAAAGCAAAATACCAGTGTAGTAATGGAATTTATACATGCGTAGCTTAATATTATTTGAGAATGCATAGAAAAATGTGTACAGTGAACATAAAAAAGAGGAGAAGTTATTAAGAAATAATGTTATGTAACAATTAATAGTATCACTAATATATACGTATGCTAAACTCTTCAGTTTTGTTTGTGAGTGAGTGTCTGGGGGGTGCGTGTGGATGTTTCGCAATTGTTTTATTGTTTATTATGAAACATCCTCTTCTTGATCAGGATTAGATTGTTGATTTAATTTACGTTTAATTAATAAAGGATTTTTTGATGCATCCAATGTCATCAATGTCGGGACACTGGAGTGTTCTTTACGTTTTGTTTGAAGACTTTCACGAAAGATTTCCTAGTAAAATAGAAACAAGAAAACGAGAAAGAAAGAGAAAAAATGACAGAGAAATATAAAGGGAACATACTTATTGAATTGTATTCCTTTGTGTTCCCAGTGGAACAAAGGACTTCAAACATGAGTTTTGACGTTTCAGTAGCATAGGGGTTGCTAGTCACATGCCCAATCTTTCTCTTTTAAGAGGGCTTACTACTGAATGAGGGAGTTTATAGAGTGCCACGGCCAGGAATCGACCCCTGAACGACTTGTGTTTGGCGAGATTCTACCACTGAAATACTGATGCGCAAAGCAGACAAATACAAACAAGTAATGAATAAAAGTTATGTATATATTTACGTGATGGCTGGCAAAGATTTGATTGATTTAAAGTTACACAAAGAAACTGACTTCAGTTAGAGAATCATTAGAAACCTGAGTGTAGAAGATAGCTCTTTTGTCTTAGTAGGCGAGCCTTCTAACCTGAAGGTCCTGAGATAGATTCCTATAGTGGGTACTGTTGAAGAGATCTGGTATTTCTTCATTTTCGATGGCTGTCTACCTGAAATCACTTTTCAATCTAACTTGAAATATACATTTACTCGTACACACAAAGTCCAAGTTTGAATAGGATAAAAACAACTGAATTTTTTTCTGATATGTGAGTTTTTACAAAATTTGGGTATGACTCACTTAATGCAAAAACTATAACCATATCATATGATGAACCGAAATAGGCATCCTTGAAATGTACTCATAAATTTGATATTGCTTAGGTGAAGTCAATAATTCAGAAGTTTAATGTCAAATAGGCCTGTTTAACTGTCGGTAATTGTCAGGATGATGAATTTATAAATTTGGGAGGGATATAATTTAGTTATTTATTTTATATTATATATATATATGCTCCATCACATATGTTTCATCTAAGTGGAAATAAAATATTTGTTATTACCCACACCTCGTTTCAACTATCACCAGACAAGATTATTCATAGTGTATGACAGAATTGCATGACATGATAACATTTTGAAGTTTTTCTGATAAACTACAGACAATGAGGTGCTGAGTGAAGAACTAACTGCTTGTTGAATTATTTTTTTTATTCTACAACACATACAATCAATCTGATTTGATTACTCATTTCCGTCTGTTTTAGTCATGTCATTTCAAGTGTTTTGTCTCCTTCACTCAATTTCGGAGGCCTGATTAAATCACTGGGCTACCTGAGTTTGCGTCCTATGTAATGCATCAAATTTTCCCCATTTTTATTGTTTTAATCATTCAGTTATGTCTTTAGGTCATGAAATGCACTCGCGCACATTTTTTAAAATTGGCTTTCAGTCTACGAGTGTGTATTTTTCCGGAAAAGGTAGAATGACTCGGTTTAACTATAGTAGTCAGCTGCTGTACATGACCTTCGATAACTAAATGAAATAATGCCTCCTGTTATGCATTTACTTAACGAGTTGCAAGAAGATCCAGTGTTCGATTACTGTATGAATAGTGGAATAATTGGAGTTACTAAACCATGCATCTCAGGAGGAAGCCTGATGGGAGGATTATGACTCTGGGGTGGATTAGAGAGTAAAGTGAGAAATACAAACAGAAAACTGAACATCATGATTTTTAGTCATCTTTTCAACAATTCTGTGACTTTTATTTTTCCTCAATTGTGATTTATTGCTCAAGGTGAGTGGGAGGATTGATCATGGTGGCTGCTGTAGTTTGACTTCTCCGTAAAAATAAAATTAGGGATTCGTTTGTGTGATAGATAGAACAGAATTGAATTACCATTCAACCCGATGATCGTAAATGAAGCAGAACTATTATGCAATAAATTAAACTGAGAATTTTATATATTGTGTAAATACTTGGTTCAGGATAAAGCTGTTATTATCAAATTTAGGAAAAATCGAAAACTAAACATTAAACTCCACTTTGCTGATGATGTATTAACCTAGTAGATGATTTTAAGCGTGCATCAGTGTTACAGCGGTAGAATGCTTGTCAACCAACCACGTGGCCTGGGGTTTGATCTTCAGCCGACTCACTCCATAACCTTGCCTAGCCGGTAGTAAGGCCGCTAAAAATGGAGGGTTCAGAGAGAGGCTAGCAACCTCACCCCGTTAAAAGGAGTAACACTAGTGCTACTGAAAATTTAAACCTCATACGTGAAGCCCTATGTTCTACTGTGAACGCAAAGGATTAAAGTAAAAGAAAAATAATAAAAACTACTAAATTGTAGTGTTTGTTTCGACAAAATAACTCAGTAGACATACTCGAAACTGATCCCATGCTTTTGTAGTAAAAAGTATATTTGTCCCAAGTGGTGTATTTGGAACTGCATTATACTGAGCTACCCAATGATGATTCATTACTTCTTTAATTGTAGGTCTGCAGTCTGGTTCTGTGAGCAGCAAACTCTTGATTAAATCTTTAGCTAGCGGTCGATAAATAGAAAAAAACAACAAGAAAAGGTTGAAAAAAGATGAATCAAATCAATTGAGTTGCATTCTTATTACACTTTATGTAAATAAGATTAAGCTAGAAAGACACAAACCCTTAAAAGTAGAACATATGGAAGAATATTTGTTTATTCCGGATTAATATTCAGTATCTGGGATTTGTAAGAATCTGGGTTAATTTCAGTTGTTAGATTTTAGGCAACAACGTGGTTTCCAGTGATTTATGCCATATATTCCTTCATGACGAAATATAACAATTGAAATTAATCCAAATCCCCACAAATCCTATAACCTAGATATCAATCTCCAGCCAACCGACGGTCACTGTGCGGATGTCCCGAAGCTGCACTAAGATGTCGTAACTAGTAAGGTCTACCACGTTATGGATGCCCATAGAAGGCATTGGTTGAGGGTGCCGCCATGCCATGAATTGACAAAGTTAGAATTCAAGGTGACTGAATGGTAAACGAGCTTAGTTTCGTAACCTGAAAGTCCCGGGTTCTATTTCCGGTGAGATCATGGGCGCGTACTACTGAAGAGTCTCAAACTTGAGCGAAACACCTATTCAGTGTTTTCTGGTTTAAAATTATTTTTAACTCATGCTTTGGAATGCTTCACTGCTGTGATTTGAATCAATATACGACATCGGTATAAACGTTGTCATGCATTAATGTCATTCACTTTTAAACTTTTTAGGCTGCATATATATACATATATATGCGATAATGTTAATCAACTATGACTTGCATTTTCATGAAGTTGCAATCAGGAGACAATTATTGCATGGCGGCTACTACTATCTAGCCACCTGAACCCCAGTGGCTAGAATTACCAACAAACCATAGCTACACCATGCTTTTACAGTTTTGTCCCGAAAACTGAATGACATCAGTATGTAGGTGCTGTTGAATGAGAGCATTACTATTTCTCAAATACTTTGCACAAATATATATAATACACAACTGGTTATTTGAACAATAACAGGTTGTAAAGTGAATTAATTTGCTATTCTATTTGCGCCTACTTTGATTTCTTCACATTATTTTGACTAAAATAGTATACTGGCTAAAATTAAGTTGAAAGAGATGGTGCCGAAGTGTTACAACAAAGGATTTTAATAAAGTAAAAACAACAGTCAGTGCAGAATAAGATGGCATAATCGATTGTCTCGTTGGCTTCTCATCATATGCATGCAGCCTAAAGATACTGTTAAGTTTGTGTACAAAACACTTTTTCAAGTATTCGTTTTTTTGTAGGGATTTTGTTTGATTGGTTGGAGGATTTCATCATGAGCTGACATCAGTTAGAGAACTATTGGAAAACCTGCAGGGAGTGCTGGACACCCAGGAGTTTCGTCGTAGTTTAGAACTCTTCACAGTGCATACCCACCGGGGTTCGAACCCAGGACCTCCTGGTTACAAGGCGAGCTCGTAGACCATTAAGCCACTGGGGCCCGATCCAGTGGCCAACCCATGAATTCCAACTTCTGCCAATTCATGACATAGCGCGACCACTTCGCAATGTCTTCTGCGACGAGTTACTGCTTCACTTTTAACACACTTACACATGTTACGTGATGTCAGTTGACAGGAGACTTCAAACTTTTAATAAGCAGTGCTCAGAAATTACAATTATATAGCTTATACACGCAGTCTTTAACTTTGATCTAGTCCCCTTCGCTATAATGTAATTTCGCCTGTCTCTTATTTCTGTAATTTGAGTTGAACTCACCATATTGTTACTCAAATTATTAGTTACTCAGCACCTTATCCACCTGTTGTCTTTATTACATTTCTCTTTTGTCACTGTATCCGCTCATTTATTTCTGTTTAAACTTGAAATTGCTGTGCATAATCTATATAAGTGTAATTTCTGAGCACACTGTTTATTAAGTTTTGAAGTCTCCTTTCAGTCAGCTGACATCCCGCCACATTTATAAGTTTGCTAAAATTTCCCTGAATTTAAGAACAAAAAGTTCAATGAAGAGTCTCTTTTTGGTGAATCCATTCACTTAATTGTATAATCGCATTTATATATAATTATTTTGTGTGTGTACCTTAGGATTATCAAAAAAACAAATAAAATTAGTTAGGGTTATTGTTTATGTCATCAAAGTGTTTCAAAAATGTGATGAATAATCAAACTGTAACTAGGAGGGTGAAGACTGGTAAGTATTGATAAGAGTTGCGTAATATGGAAGACACCCAGAAGAAGGATGTTGATTGAAGAGCATGGAGAAAAGTGTCCAAAATAAATTATGTGATAGGTAGAAAGAGTAAATAAAGGGTTGGTTAAGAAGAAGATGTTACTAAAAAGTCACACAAAATTCAAAAAAGCATTATTCACAAAGTAGTAGAACTTGGAATTATACCCAAGGTAGAAGGAGGGGGTGGGGAAGTTCCTTCTGTATATATAAATTTGGGTTTTCTATTCGGATCGCTAACGCCTCGGTAATGTAAAGTATAAGGAGGCTTACTGTTTTCGGGAGGTTTCTTTCGACTTTGTAGATGACTTTGAATGAATTCTTCTCACTTATTGAGCGACCAGTGTCGAATATATGTTCATCTATAGCACTTCTTATTGATCAACTACTACTTTTTCGTAGCCAAGCAGGATAATGTTTTTTGACTCTTTTAGATAAAACACGCATCGAACGACCTATATATCTCGCTCCACACAGAACTGGTCAAGTGCGACAGTTTATCTGTGGAGTTGTTGAAGAACAATGGGCGGTCTGAGAATACCAGTCGTAATGTAGCAGCAGTGGATGTTCTCCTCAGGGCGTTAGATATCCTTCTCTTAAGGATGTCGTCCAGTAGGTAGCCTTCGAGCGCCACATTCATGTATAGCATCTTCTTCGGTACAGAGATGTTTTGTTCCTTGCTGATTTTCGGCTGTATATGTTTATCTATAAAGCCTGGTGGATACCCATTCTCAAGTAGTGCCTTCCTCAAAAGAGCGATCTCTTCTTCTACTGATTCGGGGCTGCAGATTCTACGGAATCCAGTCGCAAGGAATATTATCAGGTTCCGCTTGCGATTGATGGGTACTGAACTGTAAAAGTTTGTCAGCTGGCCGTTCCACGTAGGCTTTCGATATTTGATCTCTTCAGAGTCCCATCAGTCTTCTCTGCTAGTCGGACATCCAGAAATGAGATTTTCTCTCCAGTTTCTGCTTCATTTGTGAATTTGATAGCTGGGTGGCAGCTGTTAGAAAACTGAAGAACATTATTTAGGTCACATTTGTTATCACAGATGATTGGTTTCAAAGGACCATTTTTCAAAAGTAATGGGCCTAAAGGTGAACCCATAGCCACACCATCTTGCTGTCTGTAAATAGTACCATTGAATGTGAATTGGACGTTCAAGGTGCATCTAAGTAGAAGTTGTTTTAACTTGGGTGTGGGTATTCTGACATTCAAGTCGTTGTCTTCCAAGCACTTGCATAAGAAACAAATCATCTCTATAATCGGGACGTTTGTGAAGAGAGATTCCGCATCGAGTGATATCGTGAGGTTGTCGCCCACTTTCACATTTTTGATACAGTCGACGAATAACTTTCTCGAAGAGAGTATTTGAAATTTGTCCTCTAACAGGCTGTAGGAGTTCTGCCAGCCATTTTGCAATTGCATGGTATGGAAATCCGGACATGTCCGAAATGGGTCGTAACGGAAGTTTCTGTTTGTGAGTTTTGGTAATCCTTATAGTCGGGGTATTGTCGAACTGGTTGGTCAAATACTCTTGTTGACGTTTTCAGAGATAAGTTGATCACTGTTTAGCTTCCTCAATATCCCAGTGAGTTGCATTTCTGTTATTTCTGTTTTGTCTTTCTCTTTGTCAGGTGCAGAGAACTTGATGTTGTCTGAAATAATTGCTGACATTTTATCAATATAGTCTTTTTATCTATTAGGACTATGCCAGTACCTTTATCAGGGCGTGTAATCAGCAATTCTTTGTTACGTCTCAGTTGGTTGAGTTGTTCTCTGTGTTCTTTAGTCAACAGATTATTGTACTTAGACTTTGCATTGAGGTACTAATGGGATGAATCTAGAGTTGTTGACTTAAAACGTCTGAACTCCTCTTCAGAGACTAGGAAAAGATCACTAGTGTAAATGATCAAATTTTCGCACTCAACATATATATATATATATTGCTAAGGTTTTGGTTGATATCGCAGAATTTTAGGCAGACAGACAAGGCCTCCAGTTGTATGGGAGATAAAGTTACTGAAGAATGATTGAACACAAATTTGACAGGATCTTCCGGAAATTTGCGTTGCATTTCAGTGGCTTTTAGGCTATTTAATAGGTTTGAATGAACAGCTTTTGTGCGCCTTTTCGTAACCATACTCATATACTCAGTGAAAGCTTGGCGTTCATCGCTTGACAGCTCACATGACACATAGGATCGTTGTGCTGTGTTTCTCTCCAGTTCGTGGACAAGTGAAAGAATGGAATCGATGTGGTTCAAAGTGTTGTTTTTTTTCTTTTATTCAGATTCATAAAGGGGAATAAGTGTCTAAAGGATTTTAATTTTTCGTGTTTTACTGTGTTAAGAAGAATGAATTTAAAGACACATGATTAAGTTATTTTCAAATTCGAAGTTGTTTTCTAGACTTGAACAGAATTATTCTCAGAAAGTTGAACAAATAGTATAAAAACTACTAAGACAGATTTGTACAATGATATAGTCATTAGACTATAGGAGTTTTCGTTTTCTTTCAGCTGAACTGAAGTCTACCAAAATTACAAAATATTTTAAGTACTTTTATTTATGCTAACAGTTAGTGTCATTCAATCAACTGATCATAACAACTGGAAATCAAATTACTTCTACCAAATATAAACAACAGAAGACAAGGGCCAGGCAACAGATCGTTTATTACGAAAAATCAACACGTATTTATAGATTTTTATGTACATTATTGTAGGTCAATGTTAGTAGAAAATACAGTCTGTTGATTGGTTGTTTATCACACATGCATCTCTTGTGGCTGTGTCAGTTCATCTATATGTTAACTGTAACCGCCTGTCCACCTTGACCTTTGACCTCAATTACTGTCAACCAATTTGGCCAGCAACCATCTCTCACCACAACATGACTAATATTTGATACATAAACATTGACCTCAATTACTGTCCACCACTTGGCTAGTAGACAGCTCTCACCACACTTTTATTTATGCTAACAGTTAGTGTCATTCAATCGACTGATCATAACAACTGGAAATCAAATTACTTCTACCAAATATAAAAATAATTCAGTGTTTAAAAAAATAAGTGGGGAACAACTCTGAATATCATTCTCTAATTTTAAAGTCTGTTCCAGTTTTATGAAGATAAACTTCACCTGTGCAACAGTAAATAGCTAACAGTAAGATATTAAAAACATTATTATTATTATCCCCTTGGGTTCCGAGTGGGACATAGGACTTCAACAACACATCTCCACCACTTTGTCCTATCTTCTGCTGTTCTCTTTAGCTTGGACCACGGATGCTCACAATCTCTCATCTCCTCCGCATACGATCTCCTCCATGTCACCCTAGGACAACCCACTCGTCGTATCAAAAACCTTGACAACTTTCAAATAATGAAGGAGTGATTTCTGGCTAGAAAGCTAAGACAGAAGCTACGTATGTATATATATATATCACTTGAGTGAGTAAATTCTACGACATTTTATGAAGTCTATCAACAAAGTTATAGACTGCATGCTATGAATAATATAATTCCGCCGAAAATGTTGCCAACGCTCGTTAACAGAATAACGATACCACTTTGTCGATGCTTATAAGGCAAGATAACTAATCAAAGTATAAAATATCACTGAAATTAACTAACTAAAATTATCGTATGCAACTGAACAATAAACTATAGTTAATCATGAAGTAGAATATTTAAGCATTAATACTAGTGATCATCAAAGCTCATAGGATCTGGATTGGTTTTTGTTTGTCTGTCGTGGTTTCTTTTTTTGGCCATTAGCTAACTTCTACTAGTGAATGAAGTATCTGACAAGGTAAGGCATTTTGCTTTTTTGTTGTCATGTATGGTAAAAATTGAATCCCAGTCGTTCTGAATAATCACCCAAAGTTTTAAAAAGACATCATGCTAATATCTCATTTTCCTAACACTAACTGATTCACGAAACAACTCAGAATTTGAACAAAAAATAAATCAATTAAAGTTGTCATAATTTGAAAAGGTGAGCATAGAAAGAAGTAAGTATAATGAAATCAGAGGTGATAATAATCAGATAAGGATTAATGTCCATTTCAGGATTTCGAAAATAACAGAAAGGTGAATACGTATATTTCATTGTATACATTTTGAGTTATTCCTCCAACAGTCTGCAACGGTGGATCCTAAGGTTGTCAAAGAACTCAGCCTGAAAAACAACACCTAACTGTATGGATTAAGACTAATCACCTTCAGCTGTTTCCTAACCCTATCCACCATCAATTAACATTATACCTCCAGGATAAAGGTAGTTTTACGTGCGTAACAACTGTCCTAGGCAAGCTCATCGATAAAGCGTCATAATGCCATTGACTACTATTCATTATTACCTAACAGTCAACACATAACGTTAATATTACTGATAGTAGTGCTTCAGATAACACGAGAGACTGAATAGCGGCACCCATGGGGATATCAGAAACACTGATACTTTCCCAATTTATTTTACTGTAACGTCCATGTTTGAAAGCTGTAAGGTAAGACCGATTTCATCTATGCAAAATGATTCAAATCTGCAACCTGCTTGATTTCCTTAACTTTGTTGTTCTTAAAACCTCATAAGTTTTCGCAAGATATTAAAACCTAAAATCTTAGATAATACGTTGACTACACAGTGTTGTACAGTAATATTTACTGATGACGTTTCGACCACAAATTATCGCCGCTCATTATCATATCAAAGTACTCACATAACTTTCTTGCTTCATTTATATACATGAGTAAAACTGATTAAACATTTGAATAAAATCAATATAATACTTGCGCGAAACAGAAAGGAAGATAAGGTACATTCAGATATAATATTAGTGTTATCAATGAAACACAACAGGATGGAAAATAATATGTGTTTATAGTAAAATAAACAAATAACTTGTTCGAATGTTATAATGTGAATTGATTATGTGAATTTATTATCCTCTGACTCGACTGGTAATAATTTCTTCCATATCTCTGGTATTTGCGTTGAGTCACTTCTGTTGCATATGTTGTGTTGGGTGTAGACTCGATGAACCAGGATTCAGTAATCAACCACCTCTCTCTCCACCTACCTATATTAATTTTTAGAATTTTAACTCTATAGTGTGTTTGTGTGTTAATGCATGCAGTGCGATTGCATCTGCAGTTCTACTATATAAGGAGGGCATATCTGAGACCCTACGCAGGATTCTCGATAAAACAGGAATTAGGGTGGCATTCAAACCTACAAACTCACTCAGATAGAACAAGCTCTGTAGACAAAAGGGCCCGGTGGACCCAGTTAAACAAAACAATATAATTTACAAAATACCTTGCAATGACTGTGAGTTAAGTCAACTACATAGGTCAAACTAGTAGATCAGGAAGGAGTAATGAGATTATCAGAACATAAGAATTTGGCTAAGGTTAGAATGATTGATCCTACGAAGATGAGTAATTTAGAGAAAAACTCAGCAATCTGACTGCATGCATTAACACACAAACACACAATAGGGTGGGACGGAGTCGAAATTCTAAAAAGTAATATAGGTAGATGGAGAGGGAGGTGGTTGATTACTCAATCGTCCTGGTTCATCGAGTCTACACCCAACACAACATATGCAACAGAAGTGACTCAACGCAAGTAACAGAGATATGGAAGAAATTATTACCAGTCAAATCAGAGGATAATAAATAATGTTAAAATGTAATTCAATTCACATTATAACATTCGAACAAGTTATTGATTTATTTTACTATAAACACATCTTATTTCCCATCCTGTTGTGTTTCATTGATAACACTAATATTATATCTGAATGTACCTTATCTTCCTTTCTGTTTCGCGCAAGTGTAATATTGATTTTATTCAAATGTTTAATCAGTTTTACTCATGTATATAAATGAAGCAAGAAAGTTATGTGAGTACTTTGATATGATAATGAGCGGCGATAATTTGTGGTCGAAACGTCATCAGTAAATATTACTGTACAACACTGAGTTATTTATCGAAATAAAATCTTATCCATGATGGAGTTATATTCTGCCACAGTGCCCAAGTTGTACGCTTTGTAAGCTTAACTGATACCTTAGTGACAGTCATATGAGGACTTTTTGAATTTCATATAAACTTGTCTCATCAACAATCTGCATCAGTGTGATTAACCTATCTCAGATTTCTCTATGCTGATAAGTGTCTCAGTCTAATCCTTAATATATCCAATATCCCGAAGAAACCCTTTGAAATGAAGCTATCAAGTCATAATATTTTGCTTAGTTCATATCAGAATCAGCTTTCATACACTTGACCGGATTCGGGGGACAGATGTTTACATCCCATTCAAGGTGATGCTAGACAGTTGGATATAGAACCAAGCTTCGTCAGGAAGGCCGTTACTATCATTGTCACTCAAAATACAGGACTCAAGGTTTCATCGAAAAGCACTTGAATGTTTTTCAACCTCTCATTTTCTACATCCATATGGTCTTTTGTACACATTCAAACTATGCACGTATTTCAAAAGGAGAAGTAGTCTTCAACCAAACTCAGCATGGATCTATCTGTATGCACCACTGGAAGGATGCGTGTGGTCATTAATAATGACACTGTGTCTCTTTACTTTGGATCTTAGTGATGACAATGAATAGATATTCCATAGGATAATCACCATTGTAGGCTCGCCTGTATCAAAGTTCATATACAACTAAAAAATACTTTCTGTCTGGCCCAGCTTCCCTATGTGAGTATTAAAATCACCTGTTAATATGAATACATCTATGTCGTTTGATCTTCAAAATAAAATGGACAGCTTCTTATAAAAATCATCCTCTACTCTGTTCAAACAGAATTTAGTGAATGCGTAGGTGAAACTTACGAAAGGACATCAAAAAGTTTCCCCATACATCTTTACTCATACGGACCCATTCAGCAGAAAAGTACACAAACCACTGTGATGCAATTAAGTAGTGATTTTTCTGGGCTAAAGAATAATACTATTGATACACTAGTACTTTCAATATATATTTATATGTAAAGGGAATCACTCGATACTTTTAGACCTACCAATATTGACTGAGAGGGGACGAAAAACAAACAACTCTACTTGAATCTTCTACATGTGTCTCAGAGAAATGACATGCGCCTAAAGCCTTAGGTTTCATAGTCTTGTCTAATGAAGTTTATTGTCTAGTTTTAAATAAGGTACGCGTTATCATACAACTTTAAGGCTGACCTTTTTAATCTCCCCTACACAGGGCAAGAAGTTGACACAGCTCAATTGCTGATTCCGTGCGGAGAAACCTTATTCCTGTTAATCCTGATCCGTCATTAGAACAAATTATTAGTTATAATCTCACTACAACATATGCAAAATGCAACTCAGTTGATAAGATTATTTTGTCTTTATATTGCGGTCCACTTTAGTCATTTTTACTCAGTTTAAAGTGCAGAGTCAGTTAACAACTCTGTTAATGGCGGACTTTTTAGAGCCGATTTCCGTATCCAGCAAAGCAGCATGCATGCACAATGAATTTACTCAGCAAAAAATAATACTTTATCTGATACATTTAGTTTAACTCACCACTTTTAGATACATGTTTCCATTGAGCATCTGGGAAGTCATACTTTCCCGCACGGATCTTTGACTTCATCCCAGGGGAAATAGGGTGACCGTTCTGACTAAAAAATGGTGGACAACCAGAGAGTCTAAAACGTGTTATTAAATATGAAGCACTTACAATATATAAGTGATTATACCCAAGGACCAGATATCACAGGATTTATCATATTTCTCAAAATTAAGTATCTCAGGAGCTATAGGTATATTGCAATAAGAGCATGTAGTAACTTACGGACATAGTAAGGAGTGTAGCAAGGTGTTTGGAGAGACTTTTTGGCAACAACTTCTTTTGCAAAACCAAAGTCCGTAAGCTTGAGGATAGCATTTGGCTCATTTGATGTATATAACAAGTTTTCAGGCTGAAAAGTTGTCGAATAATAAAACTAACTCACTTTCAAATCACGATGCGCAATATTCCTTTCATGAAGATGGCTAATTGCAGATGATATCTGATATACAATTTTAGCAGCTTCTAAAAAGATAAAATGTACAAAAGTGCAGTACCGCTCTCTGTAAAATTTTCATTTTCTTTGATTTTGTTGAAAAGCTCTCCTCCCCTCATACATTCCATCACCATTAACAGATAGTTTTTCTTTGTGTTATGATTAGTGTTTTCGAATACATCCACAACTTTCACTATATGTGGACAATCTGATACCCTCCAGTGGATTTCGGCCTCACGTCTTGATTTCTGATTGTCTTCGAGAATCTATTTAGTTGATATGTAGTAAGTATTTAACATTACCTTTAAGGCATAACGAACACCCGTTGTTTTGTGAATACATTCCACAACTTTCCCCGTAATTCCAAAACCTAGTACACTATCAGTGATTGTATATTCCGAAGTTATAGTGGAGGTCTTAGGGACAAATGGTCTGGGGGCTGACATCATGTGGAACAGTAATTAGTCACACAATCTAAAATCCCGAACTATTTTGGCCTTCAAAGGTAGCGCATTTTAACAACTGCATCATACCAGACTCTTAAATTGGCAACAGCCCATTACCATAGTTATATTTATTATTTTTTCAGAGGAAAAGTTAAACTTTAACAGCCCCACTATCCACTTTACCAACGTTCATGCGAAAATAGTCAGAGTTAAGGAACAGAAAAAGTGACAAATGTTTTAAAAGAATGGCTCCTATTAGTTACCTCATGTCTCAAAAGTAAATGTTAAAGTCACCTAAAACCTAGCATTTATTTCTAGATGATAGTAGTGTCCATGATTTCATGGTGTCTTTCAGACTGTCCACTGATGCTACAGAAGTTCACATGAAAGAGTCGAAATAGGTCACCCTTCCAGTTTAGTCTCATGCTATCATTCATTTTTCGCTACTTTATGTCAAAGAAGTGTGCTTGTTACAAGAGTTATGGTAGCGCTGTTCTGGAAATGTGTATTCTAATCGTACCTCAACATTCCATCCACTTCCAGCAAGCTTAAGATAATTCCAATAATAGTAAGGTGGTTTCGATAGTAGACTGGAGTGAGTTGTACAGTCGAGGTGAAATAACAGTGGCAGCATTAATTATATCCGAACCTCTTGAACAATTAAGCAGGTCAGTTTAATCAGCTAATTCCCTGCAGTATTTTGACACGTAGTAATATGACTAGTACTAGTAAATGGTTTTCCTTCCAACCTTTATGTGCCTTTGTTATGATGCACACTTTGAGACACGAGGCAGTCAATAACCTCTAAACATATGACGGGATGCAGCACGAGATTTCGCATTAGAAATACTAGACTAGAGTGATAAACTTGAAAATGCATTTTTCGTCGTAAATACAGGTCATATACAAGGCCTTAGTTATATGCATTTTAAGCATTATGAAAGTTAAAAACCAACTGCCTAAATAACTTGAAGAGTGGTGAGACCAATCTTTCCACTCTATCAGAGCTGTACTTACTATCCTATTTATCCCATGTGTGTTTCGCAGTTCACCTTTCGTGGAAAACATTACTTCACTCTCAAAATCAACACCATGAGCGAGATTTTATAGTGAATGCAAGATGTTTCCCGCGTCAATCTGTTTCAGGTGAAATTTATTTGTAGCTGCTAGGTTTCATTTTTATTACGTTTTCTCTCATGATCCTCTTTTGAATAGGATTCATTCATGTCCTGTGGATTCGTCACCTACTTAAGATGACTTCTGTTTGAGAGGAATAGTTTCTTGTAGAGGGTCATATGGCATGCATTTATACGCTGAAAAACTTCATGACTTTCATCTGGGCCACTGAGTCTTTTGTTTACATTACAAAAAACTGTGAAAAGAGGGTTAGTCATAATAATATTAGGTTATTCACATAAATTGAGCATTCGTACGATTGTAATAGATCCATTTATCATAGTTTTCACTTGTTCTGAGATGTGGAGCAGATTACTGGTATGAAAAATGTCATGAAAGTGAGCGAGGTTTACTCAAGTGAACATGTACAATTTCATTAATCGCTAGTAATTCTGGAAGCGAACCATACTACAAGGATATATTACAGCAATTTATTAGTGATCTGAGAAACCAAAATATCAAACGGAGAAATACACACCAGATAGGAGCTTCATAAAATTGTCGCACCAACGTGTAAATTGAGAATTAATGAGTCAAATAAAATTTACATGCATAAGAATCACGACTACTTGTTTACTTTTACGTGGGGTTCGTGAAGATTACGGTATAATAGGTGGCTGACAGCATGAATTGACTGACATTCCGAAGAGACATTGGGTCAAAAAATTATACTATTTAATACCAAATGAAGTATAATTATATTTTAATAGTTTACACACAATGATAAGTTTTGTTATTGGTAATATTTCGAGCAAAATTAGTGCCCGTGTTCACACCAGTGTTGGAATTGTTTGATCAAACAATTCCATGTGCACCCATACTTAATGCAGAAAGAAAAGGGATGAAAAAGAATCTATTGATGCATAAGTTGTAGTTGAAGTAGTAGAGTAAACGTTGTTACAAGGAAAGTATGCTGTTTCATCTGAAACCTTTGAGTGGGAGAATGAGGTTAAGTTTTTCATCCCTGAATCAAATGCGTTTGAACTGGAGAACTATGTAGAGATAGTTACATGGATCTTTCAGATTTGTTTCTAAAATTCAACTCGCTTAAACCAACTGTCGTAAATTTCATCGACAGAGATCTTCAGAGAATTGTCCATATTTTTCAATTTACTTATATTTCAAAGATTCCTATTTGTTTTCATCACTAGGTGGAAAACGCTTTGATATAATGAAACTGTCAATGTCCAGGTCTAACTACACTTGATTTAAAGCTGTCCTTAGAAGACCTTCAGCAACAATGTGCAATAACCAACGCGAAAAAGCAGAACACAGATTGAAGACTCGATAATCGTTCATTCTTCAACTACACTGACAGAAAGCAAGACCTACATAGTTGAAACACCAAATGCGGCTTCGTCATCTTCCTTCCCAAGAACGTACTCCGCACATAATCCCCCATGTGATCTCTTCAACGCAGAACGCAATCGTCAATTAAAGGTAGGCAGTGATTACGGAATTCGGAAGGACCAGTTGAGTAGGCAGATGGGAACTACTAGTATAGCGGTACGTCCAACGTTTGCGTTACATTTTTTGCGTGATTCGTTACATAAAATTTATCTTGTTGTAATCCTTGCACAAGTCCTCTACTACTTCCATACCTATAACTATTAACTCTCATATCAAATAGTTATGGTTAACCAAAGTAAAAAGCAGCGAACTCAATCCCCTGTAAAACTGATGACTAATTTTAAGTCATTGATTGCTACATCAAGCAACATACTTCCTACAAATGGTTATAGTGAGCCACAAAACTCACTTGTTTGTCGTAAGCGTCGAGCTGAAACTGAGGATAAAACTATACTGACAGCTAGTATTAGCACTACTCCCAAAAATTCAGTACCCTCTGCTCATACAGAAACCCTCCCTACACCTTATGTGCTTATCGAAAAGCTCCAGCCTTCAAGCTCTGTTTCAGTACTATCTTCAGAAATAGAACTTCTAAAGTTGTCTATAGGAGAACTTAAGGCCGAGTTAAGGGACTTAAAAAACAATAAGTCAGTAGATCCTGGAATTTCCGATACCAATACCAAAATCTCCAATTTATCAGGTCAGATCAGTGATATCAGACTGCAGGTCTGTGAACTGACACCTTTAACTATTCTCATGAAAACTGTAGACCTTAACAAACTTGACAGTGAATCGATATCTAAAGTGGATAACCTAATTAACTTTGTTACTACAGAAGTAACAAAACGACTAGATGCTAAATTAAATGCTATTGTCTACAACGTTCCGGATAATGAGGCACTAAAAAAGGTACAGCGCATCCTACTTAGTGAGGCGAAAATGCCCAACTCCAAGACTAAGTGCTACAGGCTGAAGAAGAGTCAACATGAAAAGTGTTGTCCTATTCGTTTTCAGTTCGAAACACCTGCTGAGGCCAGAAAATTTATCCACTCCCAACACACCCCACTGCAAGCCAGAAATTATAAACTAGTAAAGGTTGCGGTGGACAAGACCGTCATAGAAAGGCGCGTATATAATTATCACACTGAGTCTAACTGTGGAATAAACAATAGGACATTGCAAGCAGCAATTATACCCAACCCTTTGAGAGATACCGTAGAATCCACCGCATCACCCCTCTCTAACCACACAGAATTATCTTCTCAGAGAGCGACACCAACCGAAAGGCCGCTAAATTGTAATCAAATAGCCAATAAAACTATACCACCTACCACCGTAGATTTAGACATGTCACTAAATAATCCAAGAAAAAAAGTCAAAATCCCCCGAAAGTTGACCCTTTCCTCTCCTAGCCATAAGTCCATTGGTAAAAAAGAGAAGAATATGACCCCAAATCATGCCAAAAACAACAATGGCAGTATAAGTAAGCCCACATTCCCCACGGTTATTAGCACTGGCACCCACAACGTGCGAAATAGCACCACGGCCCACACTGATAACCAACGCCCAAACAATGCCACCCTCAAGAGTACAAGTGACAATAGTCAGAACTCGACCACCAACAACTCAGGGCATTCACAGTATGGCACGCTAATAAATTTTGACCGGATATACGGTACAAGTCTGCTGGGAACTAACCCACAAAGCAGTACATTCGAAACCCTTACAAGGACACCACTAGTACCTAACAATAGGTGGAATAATAGACCATGGTCTTCACAAGGTCCCAATCATTTTTTATCCCCTGCGTCCCTGTCAGCGTTGAAAAAACAGCTGGTAGGGATGCTAACACTCCTAAACCACTAGTGCTGGCT